GGCGGAGGAGGCGGAGGAGGTCCGCAGCAGCGCAGCAGCGAAGCCCGCAGCAGGAGAGAGGTGGCGGGCGGCAGCCGGGCCCCCTCCGAGGCAGCGGGGGCGCGGCGGGGAGAGCCGTGGGCCCCCGGACGCCGCGCTCTCGCTCTCGCGGCCGCGGCCGCGAGCGCCGTGCGGCCCTCCCTCCTCCTCCCCCTCTCCCTCCTCCTCCCTTCCTCCGACCACCCTCCTCCTCCCTCCTCCTCCTCCCCCCCCTCCTCCTCCTCTCCTCTCCTCCTCCTCCTCTCCTCCTCCTCCTCCTCCTCCTCCTCCTCCTCCTCCTCCTCCTCCTCCCCTCCTCCTCCTCCTCCTCCTCCTCCTCCTCCTCCTCCTCCTCCTCCTCCTCCTCCTCTCCTCCTCCTCCTCCTCACTCCTCCTCCTCCTCCTCCTACTCCTCCTCCTCCCTCACTCCTCCTCCTCCTTCCTCCTCCTCCTCCTCTCCTCCTCTCCTCCTCCTCCTCCTCCTTCCTCCGCCTCCTCCTCCTCCTCCTCCTCCTCCTCCTCCTCCTCCGCCTCCTCTCCTCCTCCTCCTCTCCTCCTCCTCCTCCTCCTCCTCCTCCTCTCCTCCTCCTCCTCTCTCCTCCTCCTCAATCCCTCCTCCTCTCCTCCTCCTGCCTCCTCCTCCTCCTCCTCCGCCTCCTCCTCCTCCTCCTCCCCCTCCTCCTCCTCCTTCCTCTCCTCACTCCTACCTCCTCCTCCTCCTCCTCCTCCTCCTCCTCCTCCTCCTCCTCCTCCTCCTCCTCCCGCTCCTCCTCCTCCTCCTCCTCCCTCCTCCCTCCTCCCTCCTCCCTCCTCCCTCCCTCCTCCCTCCCTCCTCCTCCTCCTCCCTCCTCCTCCCTCCTACCCTCCTCCCTCCTCCCTCCTCCCTCCTCCCTCCTCCCTCCGGCCGGGGACGCCCAGCCAGGGCGCTTCAAGGCCGAGATCTCCGACGATGTGTGTTCTGCTGCTTTGCCGACGACACGCAAGAGTGACCCTGGGTAGGAGTGACCTCTGGTGCGCAGCTGTTGGGGGGCCGCGGGGGGACCGCACACGGGCGCGCAAGACGCCACTACCGCACCGAGTTCTGCGATCGGGGGACGCCATTGGGCCAGCACCAAAGGTCACTCCGGCGAAAGGTCACTCTTACGTGTCGTCGATTTTGTCACTTCGCGCGTTTTTTTTCCTTGATTGCGGCCGGCCCCAGGGGCCTGTCATCGGGCCTGGGACCCTCAACAATGGGCCTGGGCTGGTCAGGATCTTCCCCGAGTGTGCACGCGTGTCTGCCCCAGCAGGGCATCACGGCGCAGCGCTAGGCCATCAGGAATCGTGCGGTAACCACTGCAGCGACGAGCATCTTGTACCCACCACCGTGGGCGCGTCGTGAACAGGGCTACGGTCTTGTGCGCGGGGTGTCCCCGTCTTCGCGCTCGTGGTCTAATCCACCATCCACCAGTGGACCCCTCGGTCTACATACTGGTGGCTCCCATGTCGTCCCTGTTGAAAGAAGACTGACCCCGGGGAGGGGGTCGGGGGCTCCGAGGCCGCGAGCGTCGGGTGCGAGGGCTCCGCCCTCGGTGCATCTCGCCTCGGTGGCCCCGAACACGTCGAAGCGCAGGGTGCCGAGGTGGGATCGAACATGCGACTGCCGCCGAACCTGACGGGCCACGACAGAGAGCCTCTCGGGCACGCGCCGTCGCCCCGCTGCGGGGGAGAAGCCCCGTGCGCGGGCCCTCGGCGGCGGCCCAGGACGTGGCCGTGGGGCGCCGCCACCTCACCTGCAACGTCGTCGACCTGCTCGGAAAGACTGCATCCAGACGGACGTCTTTCGGGCCGGGCGAAAGGGGGAGATAGCAAAGGGGGGGGTTTGAGGATCAGCTCATCACGTAGCTGATTTTCCCGGCGCCTCCCGGCGCCGGGAGGCGCCCATGTATCGAGGAATGGGCCCGACGGCGGGGCCGAATCCGGCTGCATGCAGCAGATTTCGTAACCCCCCCTTTCCCTATCCCCCCCTTTCGTTCGGCCCGAGTCTGGGGTGGGAGCGCGCAGGTGCGATTCCAGCGCGCCGAAGGGAGGCTCGACCGAAGGCCTGGAGGAGGAGGAGGAGGAGGAGGAGGAGGAGGAGGAGGAGGAGGAGGAGGAGGAGGAGGAGGAGGAGGAGGAAGAGGAGGAGGAGGAGTTGGAGGAGGATGAGGCGAGAGATGGAGGAGGAGGAGATGGGAGGAGGAGAGATGGGAGAGGGAGGAGGAGGAGGAGGAGGAGGAGGAGGAGGAGGAGGAGGGAGGAGGAGGAGGAGGAGGAGGGCGAACCCCTCCGGAGCATGCCGCGCCCTCGACGGAGGCTGGCGGCGAGGGCCCGCGGAAGCAGGTCGGCGGCGGGCCGCCGGCCGGCGGAGGGTGGCGGGAGCAGGCGCGAGGCGTAGGGCATGCCTGCGCGGAGTTTCCTGGGTCGGCCAGCCAGAGCGCAGCGAGACCTCCTCCTCGTCCTCCTCCTTGTCCTCCTCCTTGTCCTCCTCCTCCTCCTCCTCCTCCTCCTCCTCCTCCTCCCCCTCCTCCTCTCTTCCTCCTCCTCTCTTCCTCCTCCTCCTCCTGCCTCTGGCATGCCCGGTGGCTGCGTCCAAGCTTCTGCTCCAACTCCGGCCCGCGTCTGCTCTGGCACCAGTCAGGCGCGAGGCCTAAGAGGCCGCGACAGGCGCTCTTCGCCATGATTGTCCAGCACAAGCAGCTGGCTAGGACGAACAACGAGCAGCGATACCTCATTCGTCCACCTGCTCCTAATCTTCCTCCCTGGCCCCGTGGCATCATACACACTTGATTAGGCATGATACTGATTCACGTTTGCTGGCCTGAACCCAAAAACGACGATGACAGTGGTCCTCTTTCTCCATCAAACTTCCGTCGTCGTCCGCTGCATTTTTCTTAAAATTTTTCTCCTTCTCCTCGCTCTGGTCATGACATCTACCATCGGCGCTGTCGTTGCCCTTCCCATCCTCGTGCTCCCCTTTGTCATCGTCCATGCTGCTTTTCAAATGCTGCCTTTCAGCTGGCCCTTTTCATCGCCGTCCATTTCGCAATTGTGTCACCGTCGTCCGTTTGTTGATGTTGAAAACTGTCGTCAAATGCAGATTGTCGCCGCTGCGTAACCAACGTCATCTTTCGCGTTGTGGGAGATAGCAACCGTGGAAACATGCATTTCTGAACAAGCAGGGTCGGGAGGGCACGATGGTGTGAGTAGGGCGGCGAGGGAATCAGGCAGGCAATCATCGAAGTACGCAGCAGCGACAACCTGTTGGAAACAAACACGATGCCACGACAAATGCAGCAAGCGACGCACTTTGTGCGAGAGAGGGGAGGTGAAACGCTTTCGACACGAAACTGCTTCGCCTTCTGCGACAACGCACTTCCGAGACGAGTGGGCAGAGAGGCCATAACCACTTGGAGGCACTTCGAACCATCCTCAGACATCGTATGCGTGCCCCCTGGAATGCAGCTGACCACCTCTCTCCAAGACGGATTCTGGGATGGAGAGTCTTCTGAACCAGCGCAAGGGATAACAGCCACTACACATAGAGCTCCCTACTTTTCGTCCCATTCTTCCCCACCGTTTGTTAACCAACAAGGAAGGGCCCTGTGCTGTGCAGGGTGAAATGGTGCCCGCGCGTTTTGGGTGCGATCAGGAGTAACTTTGCGCCTCCAGATCACGGCGCACGTGCGAGCGAGTGCTGAAGAGCAACGACGACGACATCTCTGAGGCAATTGCTCAGCCAAGGCCTCTGAGGTCTCTGTCTGAGACAATCGTGCTCCCAGTGTGATATCCCCTTGCCATCGGATCTGGCAGCAGCAGCGGCGGCCTCACGTCTGTGGAAGCAGAGACGGGAGGGTGCGGTGGCGGCCTCCCCTGGAGCTCTCCAGGAGTCTGGGAAGAGGCGCAGCTGCTCCAGCCGCGGGCAGGCGTCGATGAGCTGCGAGACGGCCTCGAGGGTGAAAAGGGGGGTCTGTCGACTAAAGTCTGGCACGAGAACTAACGAACCTTTTGCGAATCATGTTGCGGGCGCTTGGGCCCCAAACATTTCAAAGAAGCTGACATGGCAGCTAAAATCAACACCCTCTGAGCAACTACGAGACGCAACACACGGGGGCAGCTAAGACTGGGACCTGATGGGCGGAAGACTTTGCGCCACCACGAAATTCGACACACAAGTGGGACTAAGGTCAGAACCCGTGTGGGCCGCCGCGACACGCAACACTTCTGGCGTCGCGGCGCCGCGCGCGGCGACGGGGCGTATGAAATCGAGTGCCAGCAACGTCACGCGCGCGTCAACGCCCGGCCGAACCGCGAAACGCAACCCACAAAGACAACTACCGGCATGACATTGCGGGCGCGACCGTCTGGGCCACCGCGAAACGCAACACGCAAGGGCAACTGCGGCCAGGGCCTTCAGGTCGAGATCCTTTGGGCCACCGCGAACGGCAACGAGCAAGGTCAAAGAAGGCCTAGACCCAATGGGCCACCGTGGAACCTGGTACACAAGGGCAACTCTGGCCAAGGCCTTGCGGGCGCTACCCCCTGTACAGCGACTACACTCAACACGTGGGCGCAAGTGAGGCCAAGACCACATTGGCGAGATCCTTTGGCCACCACGAAGCGCAAAACAGGGGGGGCACTAATGCTGTGACCATGTGGGGGGCGCGACGCCACTGGGCCAGGACGAACTGCAACAAGAAAGGGACAGCGGAGGCCAGGAACCGCATGAGCGGGACTCCGTAAGCATCAACGAAGCGCAACACACAAGGGCAAACAGGGCCGGGGCCATGTGGGCGCCAGGGCCACCCCAAAACGCAGCACACAAGGGCAACCAGGACCCTCTCTGGGCGGGGCCAATAATGGGCCACCACAGAGCCCACCACACAAGGGCAACTAATGCACAGGAGCCTTTTGGGCAGTCGTCCTCTGGAAATGCCGAGCACGGTTGCAGCCAGGACCCTGTAAGCAGGATCCTATTGGACACAGCGAAACGCCATACGCAGAGGCAATTGAGGTCAGTACCCTCCGGGAGAGACTCTCTGGACTACCGACGAAGTACGCACGGGCAATCAAGGCCGGGACCCTGTTGGCCACAGGATAATCCAGCACACAAAAAAAATCGTCCTCATAGAGAGAAGGAATTTCTTGGTGCGAGCACGGCTTGGGGTACCTCCCCCAGGCCAATGCCTCAATCCCCTGAGATTTTGGAAGGACTCATGCCCGCGCCCAGAAAACAGCTACCTGAGCTGTAACAGGGACGTGGCGACGAGTGAGCGACTACTGAACAACGGTCAAGACTTTTCCACACGCCATCAACAGATGCCAGAGGTCTGCGTTACCGCGAACGCGTTTGCCGCGAGGGGTGACATTTAACAAGAGCTTCCATTCCACCCCAGCCTGCGTAAGATGCACACAGAGTTGAATGCTGTACGCTGTTGCTCGTGTCAATTCTACCTGCAGCCTGAGCCACACACCCGCGTCTCGGGCGGAGAGGGCCGCGAGCCCTCAGCAGGGCTCCTCATCCTCCTCGTCCATCTCCTGCTCCAAGGCCCACGCATGCGGAATGCAACTGCACCACGACTGCCACGTCCCTAGGCAGGGCCAGCCCTGGCGTGGTGTGCGTGCCCCCAGGCTGGGCACAGCGAGAAGAACCAATCAAAACGGCACAACACACGCATTCTTGGAGGTCCGTGTTTCTTCTTCGGGTGCACCATCCCGGGGCTCAGGTTGGCCTGGGCCACGCACGGCGGTGGTGGCGTGCACGCACTTCCGCGGCTCACAGCTCCGTGCCGGACCCACCCGGCGCCGCGTGAGCGCCGCTCCACGTGGCTCTGGACCCCGCGCGGAAGCCGCCACGGCTTCCCACGGCCGCGGGGTGCCACACGTGCGCCAGCAGGATCACGCGGTCTTCGTCCGAGGGGTTGGACACATGGTGCACGTACGAGTCGTCCAGCACGATGGCCTTCCAGAGGAGGAGGGGAGAAGGAGAAGGAGAAGGAGGAGGAGGAGGAGGAGGAGGAGGGGGAGCAGGAGGAGCTGGAAGAGGAGGATGGGGGAAGAGGAGGAAGATGGTACGACATAGTTGCCGCGGCTGCGCGGGCCTTCCCGACCTCCCAGGAGCGCACCTCCCCGCGGACCTCGATGGTGCTTCCCTTCGGGATCCGCAGGCCGAGGTGCACCGTGAGGCGCGCGTTGTGCGGGCCGCTGTGGGCCTCGATCCGCGAGTTCGGGTGCAGCGTGATGAAGCTGGCCTTCCCCGGCACGCCGACGTGATCGAGGCCAACGTCCCCGGTGAGCTCCCTGGACTGCAGCAGGGAGCACGTGCGCGGGGCCAGCCTGCAGACGCTGTCAATCCATCGGCCCGCCTTCGAGCCTCCGGACTCGGCGGCGTAGAGCATCGCCTCCTCCCAGCAGGGCGTCCCTCGCGGCAGCAGGCGGCCGTGGGGATCTTCCAGCCCGCAGAGCGACTGTGCGTTCCTGAGGAAATCAATCCCGCGGCGGGTGTGGTACCCGTCCTCGGAGTCGTCTCCGGGGAGCAGGAAAGAAGCAGGGGCCTTGGCGCTGGCAGGCAGAAGGCGCTCCAGCTCCTGCAGGATCGCGTGGTGGTTCTCCTCCAGCAGCCGTGCCAAGGGGATCTCCGAGGCATCCCAGAAGGGCTTTGACTTGGCCTGCAACGCGCTCGCAGGAACCAGCTGGTCAAAGCTCGGGTAGGGCACGGCGGGGCTGCCAGGTCTGCGAGCGTGCTCGAACAGCTTCTTCGCGGCTTCTCTGTCGCCACGCCGGTGGCCGGCTAGCACTCCATTCAGTACGGCGTCCTGAAAGCACTCCGCGTCCTTCCTGCAGTGAGCAGTCTGCATAGCTCCGTACGCAGCCACCTCAACAGCCCTCCACCGCCTCAGCCTCGCCGCGGAGTCCAGGAGCAGGCGCCACGCGTACGTGGACAGCTCGTCTTTGCCCGCCACCGTGCCAGCGGCACGCTGGGGCGTGATGAAGTTTTTTCATTCCACACCACAGACTCCGAGCACGATGATAACTGTCGGCTTCCCAACGGATGGGACGGGGGCACCACGAAGCAGAAACTGCTGTGCATCTGCCCTCGCCTGCCTGTTCTCTGGCAAGGCTTCGGCAGTGTTCCCTGTGGGCGTCTCAGAGGCGGCCAGCTACCTCACCAACGGCCGCAGGAGGCGCCCCAAGACCATCCAAAGGCGCCCCAGCAACTGCTCCTCAAAGGCTTCAAAAGATCCCTACCACGATGCCCCAAGACGCCTGAAGCAGTCTCCAAGAGATGTCCAACAAGTGCTCCAGCGAAGCCCGTGGAAACACGAGAGTCTGACAGGCATGCTGCTTTTGGCCCCCAGCGCTTTTCGGATCCGGATCGCCTCCAAATTAGCCTGGCGAAGGACCCAACCATATGCAGTTGAGAGTACCGCAATTGTGAATATCTTCTTCGGTGGAGCTCCCTAT